AACTAAGGAAAATATTAATAAGGATTTGGTATGTGATGATTTTTTGTGGCGGAAAATCAGAGGAAGATGATGGAATGAAAAGTAACACAGTACCCTCACTACATGCATCTATACTAACACTAATGAAACAAATGATACTGTTGATATTAATGTATAGTAATTAGTTAACTTTGTGTATATATACACAAACAATTATTATTGTTATAATACATTTAAATTTTAATCATGTAAATTAAATAAAAAACAATACCTAAAATAACAAAAATATTAAATAAGCTATTTCTGCATTTCTATTGCCATTGACAATTAAGTTATATTATCATTTTACTTCTCCCTGTCCCTGTTCAAAGTACATACATGTAATATAAGAATAATAATGATTAATCTTACTGCAGTAGTACTCTTGTCAGGCCTGTATGTACTTTCTTTGGTCTGCATTAAAAATTATTTATAACGTAAAGGCTATGGTTTAGATAAAATGGGATCAGTGTTGTAAAAGTCATAAAAACTTATAGTGATTGTGCCTTCAACGAAGATTTGCTATCACCAGCTTATATGGTACATTCTATTGTGTGCAGATACAAATTATTTACTTACTAGCTCAGAAGACACCTCATCATCATAGTGACTTGATGACTTCAGTTTCCTTTGTGGCAGTGATGAAGACATTGACTATATAATGACAAAAGAGTGAATTACTGACAGCCCAACATCTGCTAATTTTATGCCACTGGAAATTACATACAAAATTACATTTCTTAGCAAATCAATAATGAAGTTATTGACGAAGTTGATACATGGCTGCCATACCTTCTATTATGTGTACATGTATTTTATTTACTTACTGTGGTTATTAGCTGAGTTACCATTGTATCATCATCATATTTTGTTAACATTTCATCACTTTCTGGCAATGATGAGAACATTGACTATGAAAATGACATGAAAACACTTGTTAAGCAAAATGCATTTTTTTTACTTAGCAAATCAAGTGACTAATAACTTAAAAACTAATTTACATGCCATTTTTTGACTCTGTTAACATAAAAAAATATAATTTTAATAACAAAACTTCCTACAGATGTGATGATGTGACTGTGTGTAATTCTGTCTTTCTAGTAACTTGATTAAATCCTAAAGTGGCATCAGTATGATGGCTTAGTTAAATTGGCAGTTTTGTATAAAAGCACAAAAAACTTAAATAGCTATTATGCATCCAATGCAGGTTCACTATCACTCAGGCTATGGTACTTCACAACACCTAATCTGTGTGCATCCATTTTAAAATAATATAATGTTACTTACTGACTGTGCTTTATAGTAATGCAGCCTTTCTGGTCGCGATGTGGACATTGACATTGACGAGGACATTGACATTGATGAGGACATTTGAATCTTTTGCCTTTCTGGTCGTGATGACATCAACTGCCTTTCTGGTCGTGCTGACATCCAATGCCTTTCTAGCCATGGTGAGGACATTAACTATAAAATGACATAAAGAATATAAATTATTGACTCTACATGTACAAGAACATAAAAAATTTAAAAAAACAAGATGAAGTAGGATTCCGAACAACCACCGAAAATACGAAATGAAAATCCAACTCGTGACGTAAATTCAACTCTACA